CCTTTTCTTTTTGTTACAGTAAGTGTAGTGATCATCACCTCTCCCCTACGAAAAGAACGGTCCTCCAGTTCGGGACGGGACAGAAACATTCGTTTGTTTTTTTTTTCTTTCGATTCCTCCAACAATCAAACAGATAAACATAAGGCTATGTCCCTGAACGCACCATCTCATGCGGTTTCCTTACTGTAGTGGTTATCACGTTCGCCTAACACTGGAAAGGTCCCCGGTTAGAGACCGGGCGGAAACAGTTTTTGATGTGTTTTTCTTTGATTCCGAACTTCAACATTCAAACAGATATACATAAACTATGTCCCTGAACGCACCATCTCATGTGGTTTCCGTATTGTAGTGGTTATCACGTTTGCCTTACACGCGAAAGGTCCCCGGTTCGAGACCGGGCGGAAACAGTCTTTGGTGTTTCTTTCTTTCATTCCGAACTTCAACAATCAAACAGATATACATAAACTATGTCCCTAAACGCACCATCTCATGTGGTTTCTGAGTGTAGAGGTTATCACGTTCGCCTTACACGCGAAAGGTCCCCGGTTCGAGACCGGGCGGAAACAGTCTTTGATGTCTTTTTCTTTGAATCCGGCGTGATGCTTTGTTTTTGTGCGTGAATGCCATATGGTGCTGGATATATTGCGCTGGATATACTCTATGTCCCTGAACACACCATCTCCTGTGGTTTCCGTAGTGTAGTGGTTATCACGTTCGCCTAACATGCGGAAGGTCCCTGGTTCGAGACCGGGCGGAAACAGTCGTTGATGTTTCTTTCTTTGATTCCGAACTTCAACATTCAAACAGGTATACATAAACTATGTCCCTGAACGCACCATCTCATGTGGTTTCCGTATTGTAGTGGTTATCACGTTCGCCTGACACGCGAAAGGTCCCCGGTTCGAGACCGGGCGGAAACAGTCGTTGGTGTTTATTTCTTTGATTCCGAACTTCAACAATCAAACAGATAACCATACGCTATGTCCCTGAACGCACCATCTCATGCGGTTTCCTTAGTGTAGTGGTTATCACGTTCGCCTAACACTGGAAAGGTCCCCGGTTAGAGACCGGGCGGAAACAGTTTTTGATGTGTTTTTCTTTATTCGGCAACTTCAACAATCAAACAGATGAACATAAGCTATGTCCCTGAACGCACCATCTCATGTGGTTTCCGTAGTGTAGTGGTTATCACGTTCGCCTCACACGCGAAAGGTCCCCGGTTCGAGACCGGGCGGAAACAGTCGTTGGTGTTTTTTTCTTTGATTCTTCAACAATCAAACAGATAAACATACGCTATGTCCCTGAAAGCACCATCTCCTGTGGTTTCCATAGTGTAGTGGTTATCACGTTCGCCTCACACGCGAAAGGTCCCCGGTTCGAGACCGGGCGGAAACAGTCGTTGGTGTTTTTTTCTTTGATTCTTCAACAATCAAACAGATAAACATAAGCTATGTCCCTGAACGCACCATCTCATGTGGTTTCCGTAGTGTAGTGGTTATCACGTTCGCCTCACACGCCAAAGGTCCCCGGTTCGAGCCCGGCGGAAACAGTCGTTGGTGTTTTTTTCTTAGATTCCGAACCTCGCAATCAAACAGATAAACATACACTATGTCCCTGAACGCACCATCTCATGTGGTTTCCGTAGTGTAGTGGTTATCACGTTCGCCTTACACGCGGAAGGTCCCCGTTTCGAGACCGGGCGGAAACAGTCGTTGATATTTTTTTCTTTGATTCCGAAATTCAACAATCAAACAGATAAACATGCGCTATGTCCCTGAACGCACCATCTCATGTGGTTTCCGTAGTGTAGTGGTTATCACGTTCGCCTAACACGCGAAAGGTCCCCGGTTCGAGACCGGGCGGAAACAGTCGTTGGTGTTTCTTTCTGTGATTCCGAACTTCAACAATCAAACAGATAAACATGCGCTATGTCCCTGAACGCACCATCTCATGTGGTTTCCGTAGTGTAGTGGTTATCACGTTCGCCTCACACGCGAAAGGTCCCCGGTTCGAGACCGGGCGGAAACAGTCGTTGATGTTTTTTTCTTTGATCCGAACTTCAGCCATCAAACAGATAAACATAAGCTATGTGCCGTGAACGCACCAACTCACGTGGGGTTCCGGAGTGTAGTGGTTATCTCGTTCGCCTAACACGCGAAAGGTCCCCGGTTCGAGACCGGGCGGAAACAGTCGTTGGTGTTTCTTTCTTTGATTCCGAACTTCAACAATCAAACAGATAAACATGCGCTATGTCCCTGAACGCACCATCTCATGTGGTTTCCGTAGTGTAGTGGTTATCACGTTCGCCTCACACGCGAAAGGTCCCCGAGACCGTCCCCAACAGTCGTTGATGGTTCCTTAACACACCATCTCATGTGGTTTCCGTAGTGTAGTGGTTATCCAGTTCGCGAAAGGTCCCTGGTTCGAGCCCGGGCGGAAACAGTCGTTGGTGTTTCTTTAACTGATGCCCTTAGAATGTCTTATGAATCCAATTTAGAAAAAATTCTGAATTTTATATCAATGTACATTTTCTCACTGTCGTGCCCCTTCATATGACTGCAGTTAGAATTTCATGACTTTTTGCAAAATATTTTGGGATTCTTTTCAGACGCGGAAGTTTTTAAAAAGTTTTTTCCATTACTTCGACAAGTATGGAGTGAACCCCATGCAGGCTTAGCCTACACCACCAAATACAAAGGCGCCACTTGGTGGAGTTGAACCCGAGGCATCTATCTGGGAGGCGAGAGTGCTAACAACTACACAACTGTACCATGTAAACTTCTGCCGTTAGAATGTCTTATGAATCCAATTCAGAAAAAAATCCTGATTTTTATTCAAATGTAGGTTTTCTCTCCGTCGTGCGTCTTGATATGACTACAGTTAGAATTTAATGACTTTTTGCAAAATATTTTGGGATTAATTTCAGACGCGGAAGTTTTGAAAAAGTTTTTTTCATTACTTTTACAAGTACGGAGTGAACCCCATGCAGGCTAAGGCTACACCACCTAACACACAGGCAACACTGGGTGGAGTCGAACCCGAGGCATCTGTCTGGGAGGCGAGAGCGCTAACCACTACACCACTGTACCGTGTCAACTGACGCCGTTAGAATGTCTTATGACTCCAATTTAGAAAGAATTCTGAATTTTATATCAATGTACATTTTCTCACTGTCGTGCCCCTTCATATGACTGCAGTTAGAATTTCATGACTTTTTGCAAAATATTTTGGGATTAATTTCAGACGCGGAAGTTTTGAAAAAGTTTTTTTCATTACTTTTACAAGTACGGAGTGAACCCCATGCAGGCTAAGGCTACACAACCTAACACACAGGCACCACTGGGTGGAGTCGAACCCGAGGCATCTGTCTGGGAGGCGAGAGTGCTAACCACTACACCACTGTACCGTGTAAACTGCTGCCGTTAGAATGTCTTAGAAATCCAATTTAGAAAAAATTCAGATTTTATTCAAAAGTACGTTTTCTCACCGTCGTGCGTCTTGACATGACTATAGTGAGAATTTTATGAATTTTTGCAAAACATTGTGGGATTCTTTTCAGACGCGGAAGTTTTAAAAAGGTTTTTCCCATTACTTTGACAAGTATGGAGTGAACCCCATGCAGGCTAAGCCTACAGCACCTAACACACAGGCTCCACTGGGTGGAGCTGAACCCGAGGCATCTGTCTGGGAGGCGAGAGTGCTAACCACTACCTTACTGTACCGTGTCAACTGATGCCGTTAGAATGTCTTATGACTCCAATTTAGAAAAAATTCTGATTTTTATATCGATGTACATTTTCTTACTGTCGTGCCCCTTCATATGACTGCAGTTAGAATTTCATGACTTTTTGCAAAATATTTTGGGATTCTTTTCAGACGCGGAAGTTTTTAAAAAGTTTTTTCCATTACTTTGACAAGTATGGAGTGAAACCCATCCAGGCTTAGCCTACACCACCTAACATACAGGTGCCACTCGGTGGAGTTGAACCCGAGGCGAGAGTGCTAACCACTACACCACTGTACCGTGTCAACTGATGCCTTTAGAATGTCTAATGAATCCAATTTAGAAAAAATCCTGATTTTTATTCAAATGTACGTTTTCTCACCGTCGTGAGCCTTGATATGACTACAGTTAGAATTTTATAACTTTTTGCAAAACATTTTGGGACTACATATTGACGCAGAAGTTTTAAAAAGAGATTTTCCAATACATTTTTTAAGCATTTATGTGAACACCATGCCGGGAGAACCCTATGAGGAGTGACATCTTCCAAGCCCTTTTGTCTGGGAGTGGCAGCGTGCGGGATGGTAGAGCGAGACTGAACGTGTCTAGTAGATGCGGGTACAAAAAATAAGAAATGAATGTGGTGAAAATACCCAGATTAATTCTTCTGAACAGTCCTCATTCTAAAACCCCCCTGACTTTATTTCAGTGAAAATGTCCTCAGTTTGTGCCACCTAAATGATTGACTCATTTTTAACACAAAATTTTTTGAA